TCCTCGTAGACCAGACCACCTCAAAGATAGCTGCCAACGTTAATTGCATATCCTTGTCTGAACCCCCCAGGACGGATTCCATAAACATAGGCAACGATCGATTCTGTATAATAGCATGCTGTCCCCATAACTCCGCTGCGTACCAACAGTCTCCGAAGAGATGTTCTGCCGTCTCGGATGCATGCCCACACATTGGGCAACCCCCACCTATCCACACCTGCTTCATTTTGAGATTTTCACGGACTGGAATCACCCCCCGAGCACAACGCCATAATAAAGTTTTCACCTTTGGAGGAACCGGCAAAGACCATAATGTTTTCCAAGACTGGAAACCCACACCCGTGATATCGTGACCTTCACCGTTCATTAACTGTCGATAACCATGCTTCGCCATATACTTACCCCTTATGTCCCCAACCCAGCGCCATGAATCATTAAAAGCGCAGTTGACGGGCGTAGCCAAGATTCGTTGAATATCCTCGTCCACAAACAAAGCTTGAATGATGTCTCTGTCCCAATTACCCTCGGCATCTAGCAAGCCGTTAACAGTGGCCTCTTTCAGTTCTTCAATACAAGGCGTGTGTATGGATGGATTAGAGTTGTCTGAAAGCCAACCCCAACCCCAAATCTTTGTGTCTGCCCCATCCCCAATCCGGCGAGCTATCCCCATCCTCAGAATATCTTGCCCTGCGAGAATGCTACGCCACAGGAAGCTGGGATTGCTTCCCACACGTGCATCCAAAAAACCAGTACCTGGAAAATATTTAGCCTTTAAAAGTCGACTAACCAGTGATTCAGGATGTATGAGAATACGCCACCCTTGCTTTGCAAGTAAGGCTAGGTTAAACTCGTGTAATCTTTTAAACCCCAAACCACCGAAAGCTTTTGGAGTACACAATCGGGACCAACTCAGCCAATGGATCCCTCTACTCCCTGTACCCCCACTTCCCCACCAGTAACGATTTAGGCATTTTTCTATCGTGTCACAAGTCCTCCTAGGTAGGAGGAAAGTGGACATGGTAAAAATGGGAAGAGATTGGCCAATGCTTTTGATGAGAACCTCTTTACCTGCCCGGGATAGGAGCTTATGTTGCCACATCCCAATGCGTCCACGTAATTTATCCTCAATATATTTGAAAGTGGATATCTTATTCCGACCTATCACCGATGGGAGGCCCAAATACTTGCCCAGGTCATCCGCAATTTTAACCCCAATGCAACTCGAGATTTGTTCACAGATAGTTGGAGAGGTATTAAGGCTAAAGACAGCATTTGACTTATCAAGATTGATCAATTGGCCCGAAGCTGTACAATACATATCCAGGCATTCTTTAATTTTTAATGCTTCAGATTGTAAGGCCCTGAAAAACAGAAGACTATCATCAGCAAAAAAGAGGTGGGTGACTGCCGGGGCCCCCCGAGCCACCCGTACCCCATGTATGTCACCACGGGCTTCCGCCTGTTGTAACAGAATGGATAGACCTTCAGCACACAGGATAAAAAGGTACGGGGATAACGGGTCACCCTGTCTTATCCCCCTCGACGGGCACACTGTCCCAATGCCCTCACCGTTAACCTAGATTGTGTAACTTACTGTTGAAACACAATGCATCAACATTTGCGTCCATTCGCGCTCATAGCCTAAGGCTTCCAACATCCCTTCCAAAAAACCCCATTCCATCCGGTCATAGGCCTTCGCCATGTCCAGTTTCAACGCCGTCCACCCCAAAATCCCACTCGTTTTTCTTCTGAGGTAGTGACCAATTTCCCCAGCTATAATGATATTATCAGTTAAAAGTCTTTCTGGGACAAAGGCGCTTTGAGATTGTGAAACCACTGTCTCCAAAGTTCCTTTTAGACGGTTAGCCAGCATCTTGGCTAGCACTTTGTATGTTACATTACAAAGTGCGATCGGACGCAAATCAGACACTTTCTCAGGGGTCTTTTTCTTGGGAAGTAATACAACATTCGCAGTATTAAAACCCGGCGGGAAAGCCCTGTGTGTTATACAATTAAGGATAAAAACCGACAGGTCATGTCCTAAAACCGGCCAGAAATGTTGGTAAAAAGCCGGGGACATGCCATCAGGGCCCGGCGCCTTGTCCGGTGCCATGGAAAAAAGAGCCAATTTCACCTCGGCCATCGTAAACGGTTTTAACAGGGAGATATTCATCTCATCCGTTACCCGTTTCTGGACTCAATGAAAAATGTCCGAATTAGTATTACTTGAGCGAAAGATGCAATCAAAATACCTCAGGATTTTGGTGTGCATAGTTGACCCTTCTTTCCAATAGTCATCTTGGCCTTTGATGCGTTGCAGGTAATTATTTTTACGGCGAATTGTGGCAGCCTTGTGGAAATATTTGGTGTTTGCATCACCGTGTTTCAACCATAATTGCTTTGCTCGTTGCCGCCAAAAAATTTCTTCTTGATGTAGCAGAATTTCCAATTCCTGCCGAAGAGCTATGTACTCGTTCACTGCCTGGGCGTCACGATCTTCCTTAAGTTCTGCGACTCAACTCCGTAGTAGTCGAATTCTATTGCCAAAAAACTTGTAGTGTTCCCCGCCCCATGTCCACAACTGTTGCCCGCAAACTATAATCCGATCCTGAAAATCCATGCCCAGAGAATGACGCCAGGCCTCCTCTACGACTTTTGCGCATCCCTCCTCAAGAAGCCAGGCTGCTTCAAATTTAAAACTACGCATGGCCTATTATCCACATCGATAAAGATGGCAGTATGATCCGATGAAACTGTGTGCAAATTCCTCACCATTGCATCTTCAAAAATTTCAGTCCATTCCATCGTTGCGACCGCTCTGTCTAGTCTCTCTTCCACCCACTCCGTTGTACCGTGTCCACGTTCCCATGTGAACCTGCCTCCCACCATTCCTAGATCATTGAGACGACAATCCCCGAGAGCATCATTGAATCCCTCGATAAGCGATTCAGGATGCGAATGTATGCCTCTCTTCTCCGGTAATCCTGCTATGTCGTTGAAATCTCCCACGACCAGCCATGGGAGAGTGTACTGATCATGAAGCCGCCGCAACAAGTCCCACGACTCATGACGATGAAGCCTGTCCGGGTGACCATAGAAGCCTGTTAGCCTCCATCTCGGCTTACCCGGGATATCAATCATCACATCAATATGGTGCATAGAGTAACTCAACAAAGTAACCGTGTCAGCGTCACGCCAGAGCAACACCAACCCACCACCTAAACCCACACGATCCACCCCAAACGCGCCTTCAAAACCCAGCTTTATACGAACCTCTTCTATCTTGCTGTTTACTGCCTTCGTTTCCAACAAAAAAAACAAAAATGGGCCGCTGTCTGGACACCATGCCCACTAATTCACGAACTGTCCGGGAGCCGCCCAATCCCCAGCAGTTCCAGCTTATAAGACTCATTGGTCATGGCAAGCCTGACCCTCCAGGCTCGCCACAAGCAGTTTTGTGTTTGGTTCCACCATTGTCACATCTCCATTGTCTGAGTTTCCCGCATCCCCTACTTCCTCTCTGCGACGCTTTAAATCACCTTGCAGCCCGCCATTCTCCTCCATAGCCAAAGTCGTGCGTGGAGCTGGACCGGCGTTCGGAATACTGGGAATTGCATCCATTTTAACCTGAGAAGACAACAACCATCTGGCGCCCACCGGCCGAACCTGCCTTCTTGAACCCGCCTTCATCCAAGAACCGAATGGAAACTCCTCCGGAGCAGTTCCCTCTTCGTAAACCCGCTTACAAAATTTGTCTATATGGCCAAGAACACCGCAGCAGAAACAGAACGTGCTCAGGCGTTCGTAGCGGAAGGAGATCCACTGAAAAGTGTCGTCCTTTCGCAACAGTTTCATTCTACGCTTCAGAGGGACATCGATCTGCATTTTCACTCGAATCCGGAAGAAACTCCGCCATGCGCCACCAAAATTGCCGGAATCAATGGCTACGAACATGCCTACATAATTTCCGATCCGTGTGAGGAACTCCGTAGTCGCAAACACTGCCGGTAAACCATGGACTTGAATCCAAAAAGAGACCGTATTCAGAACGACATCTTCTGGTTTCACATCCTTTGAGACCTTCTCGCAAATCAGCATACTGTTCTCAAAGGTCCATGGACCATCATCAAGGACCCTATTCAGATCCTTTGGGTGGGGGAATTGAAACAGAAACAACTCGTCCGTGAGCGGTGTGACCTGCATACCCATCACAGGCCTCCAGACTAAGGCCATGATTTGCTGCATATATTCGAATTTGATCGGACGTTCCGTCAGAAAACGGCCGACGAGATCATGAAGGACTGGTGCCTCAGTGCAAACCTGGATATCGGGTGCTTCCAGACCTGTAGCGTCTTCCTCGGCTAGGTGCATTGCCGCACATCGATCCTCGATTTGTCGCACGTCCATAGTGACACACGGGATACCAACAAACGCAAATAGCACTAAGATACGAAACTGATGTATTAGATCCATCGGAGGAAACCAGATATATAAATGCCCTAGAAATCTAGGTAGACACTCTCTCAGCTAATTGCTAAGAGAGGGGGCCACGATTAACAAGCACGAATCGGAAAAGTGATCGACGAAACCACGATCAAGAAATCACGATCGGAAGATGGAGATGAAGATTGACAGAACGTCGCGCGAGTTGCGGAGCATTTCTTTTTTTCTTTGATTTAATTAAGGTCCCTTCCATCTCTTTCTTAAATGGCACTACAAAAATTGCAAAAAATTAGCTTGGTTGAGGTTGGTCTAACAATGGTGTTTATTAGTTCCATGAACCTAGAAAAGTCAAAAGCAAAATTGTATGTACTTTTAGTGTGTTACGAACCCAGTGACGTTGTGTGCTTCTAGAATTCCATGCAGGAGATCAGATAGATGATGGCGTCTATATTAATTTCTCAGGATTTCTTGGATGGTCAAATACCTGAGGTCATTAAATAGTCCTTGTTTTTTTGAAAGGGAATAGTCCTTGTTAAATATCACAAGCACGTTTTTGACTCTCTGCAGCTTCCTGCTAGTTTCCTCGTACACAAAAATATTAGGTTGTCCCAATTTAAACAAGGCCGCCACCCCAACCGAAAACCACAAACTTCACAACCTTAATTTTTACGATAAGACCAGACATGGTTCCTGGTACCCAGAATGAGCTCCCCTTGAACGAAAACGACTCACAGGAGGTGGTTTTGTACCAGATCTTGAATGAAGCCGCCGCCACACTAAACTCCAGCCCCTTTTTGCAGCCCAGAAGCAGAGGAATCCCCCAGCAGAGCATCCTCCGCCCAACGCAGTCGATAGCCAAGAAGCATTACAGGGGCGTGCGGCGGCGGCCGTGGGGGAAATTCGCGGCGGAGATTCGCGACTCGGCCAGGCAGGGCGCTAGGGTGTGGCTGGGCACGTTCAACACGGCGGAAGAAGCCGCCTTGGCTTATGACCGGGCGGCTTTTCAAATGCGTGGCGCAAGGACACTCCTCAACTTCCCGGCCCACTTGGTGGAAGCGCCGCCGTCGTCTGTGCTTAGACTGCACTACCCATCCAACAGTTGCAGCAACGAAGCTTCGAGTGGCGGTACGGTGAATCCAAATACATAAAGAATTCTGTTCTCCTGGATTTTCCGACAAGTGGCCGCCGGAGATAGAACAGAGCTTACATGCATGAAATGTTTAGGAATCTTATAAAACATTATTATATATACAATATAATTTAATTTGCATATCATATCGTGTAAATTAAATCTCTAGCTTTCCATGTTTCTCGTTTACTTTTCTTCCATTTCTCGATCTATTGGATGGATGGGAATTGGTTGTCTTGTTGTTTCTCGGATGAACATTTTGAATTTCGCATTGGTTTCTTACTACTTTTCTTCTTTCCAAAAGCACATTTTGAAAAGTTTAATGAAACAATTGATTGATAAATCAAAAGGAAAAGGAATTGAAGATATATACTTAGTGGTCGTTGGTAGGCACAAACACACTAATTTGTGAAAGTATATACAATTAATAATACTAATGGCAGGAATACCTAAACCTGGTAACAACTGTTCAAACATATATATTCTATAGGAGCATAACTATCACAAATACAGAGAGATAATATGTCAACCACATATATCCTTAATAGTAACTTCTTGGGTGTCAGATTGTGGGTAAGAATTCTTAAATCTGTCACGAAATTAACAATAAATGTTCTAGATAATCACTTCCAAGGTCTTGAAACTCCACTACATCTGTGAAACTAGTCTCAAGAGTTTCTTCCAAGCGTGTTTGGGGCTGCATCTTCTGGGCAGGTTGTGTAATCATGCATGAAGAATCCTCAAATATATCCCATTCCCTGCTAACCCTTTTCCTTGAATCGCAAGTAATCTCGCCATATCCAAAACAAGAACCAATAAAGCTGCAATTAGCTGATGATAATTCATTCTGGTTGCAGCAAGTCCCACGGGCATCATCAACTGTACTTTGAAGAGGGAAGTTCAAGTAAGCTTTAGGGCCTCTAATTCTCAAAGCAGCCTTGTCATAAGCCATGGCAGCTTCTTCTGCCGTGTCAAATGTCCCAAGCCAAACCCTAGCTCCTTTTCTCGATGAATCTCTTATCTCCGCCGCGTATTTCCCCCACGGCCGTCTCCTCACGCCTCTGTAGTGCCTCCTCCTCACCACCTCCTTCTCCACCTTCACCCTTTCCGGTGAACTCTTTGGACCACCATTAATGGAAGTTTGCAGCTCTTCAAGACTTGGAAGCCTGTGTAGAATTCCATCCCAATTTTCATACTCGTATTGGGATTCCTTTGATTCATTCTTGGCTATGAAGTTTGCCCAGACATTCTCTAGGATTGCGTCCGATGATGCTGATTCCTGTTCTCTCTCAACACTGCCCATCTTCTCAAATCAACACTCGTGCACAGAAAAGAAAAAAAAAATTGAAGGTTATATATATCGTAATACATATACGTATATATATATATATATATATATATATATATATATATATATATACATATCATATGATCTACAATATAATATAGGTTAGGTTTGATTATTGCTTTATCCTGATTTATGATTGGATGCCAATAGGAAACTTTATGTTGAAAATTATGACTAAGCTAAATTCAAAGGATGAAACTAAAATCAAGGCATTAAGAAAGGTGTTTAGCTTGCAATTTTCAAGAAAATACGCGGATTTATACATGCATTGCTTACTAAGAAGCTAGGATTAATAACTTTAATGCATTTTATATTTGAAGATCCTCCCTGTACTTAATGATGAATGGCCCAAGGTATAGTAACAAGAAAAGATCAGATATACCCGATGTATCTGGGAATTGTTGTTTACAAGTAATTAGTTTTTTATTTCACACACTAATCCTATCCCTTGTAGTTTTATATAATTGAGATTATAAATTTTGATATGATGTTAGTCCACAAATTAAGAGAAAAGAGGATGGGTTATAAGTGTGGAGAATACATAATCACAAAATCTTTAAGATAAGTAGTGATCAAAAATAGATTTGTACAGGTGAAGTTTAATTCTAAAATGGATCGTTATTGAAATGGTTTTCAGTGATATGTAATTGTATTTGGTACTATTAAAATTATTTTTTAATAATACCAGTCGAATGATTTCACATTATACCATGTATAATCACGATATTATTAAAAAAGTAAAAATGTTTCAAATAGTACTTATACACTTTATGATCATATACTTGGTACAGTTATGTACTAGTAAAGACTATTTCAATATTACACAAATGTCATTGTGATTTAGTGGACGACATTGTTAATTACCAATCGGCAGGATAGGCTTTCCCTAAATTTTAAATATTAACACAAATATTTAGAAGGTTGTAAGTTCGAGCCTCAGTGGAGGCCTTATTGGCTCTTTGTGTTTCAGTAGGTTGAGAAAGTATATGAATAAATACTAAATTGTAATAGAGCTAGTAGCATTCAAAAAAAAAAATATTAACACAAATATTTCTATAATATAAGGTCAAGATTAAAGTTAGCCAAATACCCTAAATTTTCAAAAAAAAATAAAAAAAATTGCAAGTTTTATTAAAATGACGTACATCTTAAAGATTGAAATAGTAAACTTCACTCATGTGTGATAATCTACAAGTCATACTAAAATGACCTTATATAACAGGTTCAATCAAGAAAATGAAATCAAATTCATGACTTTCAAATATAATAATCACGTTCCATCCATTTATCATAATTTATTTTTTTTCTATCAAAATTTTGTAAACATTTTCTTATTTTTCTAAGTTTGGTTGACTAAAAAAAAAAACAGAGAGTGCAGAGGTAGGTTCATCGGATTTTAGGTTTTGAAGTTGAAAAGCCAAAACATAATGTCGTAAATGTAAAAATACGTAAAGGTGTTGCGGGATTTGTGGGTTTGATTGAATAGTTTGACTGTTAGATGGTGGTGCGGATTTGGAAGCCACACGTACGCTTCGCCGTATAAGAATAATAATAATACTTCGATCCACTTCGATCTTGACGTTCAAGTGTCTTAAGTAGGAAGCAATACCTGAGTTTATGCCATTCCAGCAATTAGGATATGCTATTTGTAGCTCGCATGGGCTTAGTTCAATGGTTCAATGGACAGTATTTGAGGGAAGAAACTAAGGTTTGAACTTTTATAGCGGCAGTGTGAAGATTATGTCTAAAGTGGACTTTTAATTTCAACAAATTTGATACTCGAATTGTTTAAAATTTCGTTAATTAAACCTTTTATCAGAAACTAAAATGGTGATTTCTATATTTTTAAAATTTCATCAATTTAATCGCTAAAAGGATGTAATTGACGAATTTTTAAATAATTCGATGATTAAATTTGTTAAATTGAAAACTGTAGACTATATTAACAGTTAGGAAACAATTGAGTGATTAAAATGGTGACTTATTGAGTTAAGTGTAACACTATAACGAGATCAATATATTAGCTTATAGTGGTGGAGTTAAAAAATTACATTAGGGGACAAAGGCAATGTATTGTAACGATGACATCTGATTTATTCCACCAATAAATGTTTGGGAAAATGGCACTTTTTCCCCCTGAGTTATATATCTATAGCATTTTTCTCCCTGAATTATTGAAGTGGCTATTTTCCCCCCTGAAATGTTAAATAGACATATTTACCCTTAAAATAAATATTTCATTTATTTTTTTCTCCAACAAATTATGACTATAATTTGGTTCAAACCAAACAAACACTATAGCAACCAAACCGAAATATTCCAATTACAATTTAGAATCGAAACCCGATATTTAGAGTTTATTAAAATCGTGAACCGGAACGGACGGTTCATGTTCCGAACTGGAAAAAATAAAATACATTTATTATTGAATTTAGACTATTTTAAAATAAAAATTAAAAATTTAAAATAAAGACAGTTCAAAATCACGAACCGGATCCGGAACCGCCGATTTACGGTTAAAGATTCAAAATTTTTATACATAATTTTAATAAATTGACATCTAAATATTGAGTTCTAGATCTGAATCATAACCGAAAATTTTTAATTTGATTGCTTTAGTGTCCGGTTCAGTTCAAACCGAACCGTGGTCATCCCTACGTATACACAATAATTTGTTGGAGAAGTAAAATAAATAAAATGTTTACTTTAAGGATATAAATGTCAATTTAATATATTAGGGGGGAAAAAGCATCACTTTTAGAACAATTGAGGGGGCTAATGTGCTTACCTAAATAATTGAGGGGCAAAAAGTGCTATAAGTATATAACTCAGGGGAAAAAAAAATGCTATTTTCCCTAAATGTTTTGTGACAATAAGTAATTAAATAAATTAATAATACTACTATATTTAAGATTTTATTTATTTGATTTAATTAGATTTTGCTTAATGAATTGTAATTAATAATATTTTACAAAATTTTGTCCAAGGGAAGAGGTTATTTTTTTACAGATATTATTAATTATTTATACATATAATAACAACAAAATGCACAGATATTAAAAAAAAAATATTGCAAAAAAAAAAAAAGGGCGTGGCACTGTTTAGCTTTAATTAGGAAGAAATCTACATAGTCGAATTTGGCAAATTATACTGTGAGCACGTGTCCACTTTGCAATGGTACGGTTTCATATTGTAGATTATTTTATTGCAGTATACACCGCCTTTACTGAGGCTCGATTTCATAACCTCCTATATAAGAGAGTCACTACATGCATGTCATCAAATGTTTATTCTTTTATGTCAAAAAGTATAGTTCACAGTCAAGACGCAATTTTATTTCTTATATATCAACATCACATTTTCGAGACACAGTGTTACACTTTGCCTTTCACCGACTTCTGCCCAACAATAGTCCTAACACCAATTGTTAGATTTGACCCTTCACCGACCTCCACCCAACAATTAACTTTGTCACAACCTTAATAATCATTCTTCATGACTCATGAGATCCCACTTAAAAAAAAAATTAAAAAAAAAAACTTCCATATGAGTTTTAATGAGCTGCGGCAATTAGTGATGATGGTTGGGGATGGGTCACGAATTGCCTTTTTGTGAAATTTTAATATATATAACGTCAATTCAATATTATCAAAATATGGATGGGCAAGTTGTATATGGCATTCGTGTCATCATTTTTTTTTTGTTTTTTTTTTGGGTGAATTGTAATTATAAGAGTGAAAATAGCGTTATCAATCACTATCCAGAGGGCTATAGATTAATGATCCCATGCATACCTACAGTAAACACCAAATACTTAAATATTGAAACAGATATTAAAATTAAGTTCATAACACCAGCTTGGGTTGGCTTATTTAGTTAGTTATTTTGTGTCCCACAAAAAATTATTAGCACATGGCGATGCCTAACTTCTAACAAC